ACAAGAAAAGATGTGTGCGAACTGCAGGCGAGGTCACGTGACTTGGTGAACTCGTGATATCGTTGGTGCCTAAGGCAGCTCGCGAGTGCCGATAGGCTCGAGCATACAGCGGGCCTTGCCCGCTACATAAAGTCTCTCTTTAAAAGGTCTATTAGTTTTAGCTTCTATTCTTACTTCTCTATATTTATCTTTTAGATCTTTTAAGAGGCCTCCTCTTACTATATCTTCTTTTTAAAGTTAGCCCTATAGTACTACCTAGCCCTTACTATCTTTATTAATAGTAGGTTCTTCTCTATATAGGCATCCTCTATAAGGGCCTTATATACCCTTTTTATAGCTACTAACTTATAGCTATCCTCTTTATTAGATCTAACCTCTACTACCTAGTTATAATACCTAACCCTAGTATCTAGAAGCTTATCCTCTAAGCTATCTAAGGCTGCCTTATTATTATAAGATAAAAAGTTAGTATTATAACTACTAGTCTTTAACTCTATATTTATAGTTATCTGTAAGGGGCCAAAGCCCTCTTTATTGAATCTAACGATATCAACCAAAGAAATGGATTCGTTGGAGGGAGAAAGGGAAAACAGAGAGAGATGCCCACAAAGATGGGGATCGAGTAGGCGAACAGACAAAGAGAGTCACGTGATGTCAACAACAGTCACGTGAGGAACACGACGCGCAGGCCGAAGCCAAGCAACATCCAGGTGTAGCCTATAAGTTATAACAATACCCCCCTCCTCCAAACGAAAAACAAATAAAGGAAATAGGATGAGCTTAACATAAGCTTAGAATAAGGTTAACAAGGGGAACAAAGGGTAGAAAGGTAAAAGGATATCAATCAAACAACATTCTCACTGTCCACAGAGTTCCTCCTCTGTTCCCATTCATCCAATGCAATAGTATCTTTGAATTCCTTCGCAGGCTCCCAGGTAGGCTTATCATAGCCGACCCATTTGATCAAGAGTTGATGTTGATAGCCACGTCCCCAGCGTTTGCGACGCTCATCCAGAATCTGTTTAATATGGTATTCTTCCTCGCCATCAATTAGGCGAGATAGTGGCTGCCAGTCAGATTGCTTCTGGCTGGGGAATGGATCCTTGCTTATTGGATGAAGCAGCATGATATAAAACACAGGATGTATTCCTAGAGGTGTGTTAAGGTGATAAGCATGTGAACTAATCTTTTCTAAAATTGTATACTTTGCTTTCTGATAGTCAAGCTTCTTTGATGGCCTGTCAGTGCGGATGTTGCGAAGATCCAGCCATACCTTGTCACTAACCCAATAGTCATATGCAGGGTCCCTTGTGTGATTAGTGTACTCTTCTTGGCTGTTCTGTGCTGCTGCCATGGCTATCTGGGCTAATTCCAGTGCTCCTTTTAGTTTAGAGATAATTAATTCCGCTTTCTGTTTTGGTGTTTTGGGGTCATCAACCACTGGTGGGCTATCAAAATCCAGGGGATTAATGTGGAAACCATGGTCCAAGAAAAATGGACTGACCCCTGTCATTAAGCAATTACAGCTATTGAGCGCTAGCTGTGCTGCTGGGCATAGGAATGCCTAGTCTCCCTGTGTGTAGTTGATAAATAGACAAAGGTAGTGTTCAATTTCCTGATTAGCACGTTCTGTAGACCCGTCCGTCTCTGGGTGCCAGGCTGTAGAAAGACGCCTTGTCACCTTCATCAGCTGACAGACTGTGGACCAGAATCCACTAATAAACTGAGAGCCTCTATCTGATACTATACCATCTGGGAATCCGTGTACTGCATAGAAAACTTTGATGAACCTCTGGGCCATATATTCCACCTCCGTGGATTCCATTGGCTCGATAATGACGCCTTTCCCCAGGCGGTCGCGGATCACCATCATGCTTATGTAATGGTCTGACGTTAACTAGTAGCTTGTCTACAAAGTCTATAGAGACTTCTCTCCACTTCCATTCTGGGATTGGCAGGGGCTTCAACAGGCCCTGTCGCCTGTGTCTCCATATCGTATTTGCTCCACATTTATCACAATTCTGGGTGAAATAATAGATATCACTAGACATCTGGGGCCAAAAGTAATTCCAGGCGATGATCGCGTAAAGTGTGTTGTGGCCGGGATGGCCAGTTATTAGGGAGTCATGAGTATCCTGCATGATGCGAGTTCGTAAAGGCTCAGAAGCTGGAACCTATTGTCTCCCTCAGAAAAGCAACAGACCATTGTCAATGAGTTCACATTCTGAGATAGATACCTTCACTTAAGAATCCTTGGGGAACCAAGGTGCTTGATCCCTTATAGCCTGTTTAAGCATCTTCAGGATCTCATCCTTCCCTTCCTCCTGGTGCCAGAGCTCCTGCAATGATGATTCCTCCTCTGATTCTGATTCTGGTATGACTGTTTCTCCCTCGAGGGCCTGCTCATCCAACCTGCTTTTTGGATCATGATTGAATAGTCTGGGTCCGACAGTCCCCGTGGCTGCCACCCTTATAGCGTAGATTGAGCCATGTTCAGCGCTATTAAAAGTTTCGGGTTTGAATAGCCGTAATTCCCGGTGTGAAGTGCGTTTGTTACTCTCTCCTTGAGGCATATCCTGCTCCTGTTGAGAGAGGGCATTAGAGCGTCCATTCTGCGTGCCTGGCCGGTATGTAATAGTGAAGTTGAATTTACTGAGAACTTAGGCCTATCGCATTTGGCGTTCAGAAAGGCGGCATTGGGTTGTAAAGTATTCCAGATTCTGGTGGTCAGTGATGATCTTGAATTGGTGTACACTTATAAGTTCAGACTCCCACTGTTCTAGACAACGTATGATCATAAGGAGCTCCTTATCATAGATTTTGTAATTATACTCTGCCGGGAGATTTTTCTTTGAGAAGTAAGCGCATGGACGGAGTAGCCCATCATCATCATATTGAGATAGGACGCCGCCGACTATCCAGCCTGATGAATCTGCCTCTACTACTGTCTCTTAATCTGGGTCGAATTACATGAGAATCGGAGCCGTAGTGAACATATGTTTTAGTTTTTGGAACACTTCGTTGGCTTCCGCAGTCCACTCAAACTTCTTATTTTGATGAGTGAGGTTGGTGAGCGGATGGACTATCCCAGAGAAGGCTCGTATAAAACGTTGATAAAAATTGGCGAATCCTAAGAATGACCGCACCCCCTTAATGTTGGTTGATGTCTCCCAGTCCAAGATGGCCTTCACCTTCTCAGGGTCCATATGAATTCCCTTCCCTGCCTCGATGATAAAGCCCAGGTACTTGGTAGATTGAACTTCAAATTCGCATTTATCGATATCAATCTGTAGACCAGCTTGTTGGAGACGTTCTAGTACTTTAGTGACGTGCTGTCGGTGCTTCTGCAATGATCCCGTGGTGAATATCAAGATGTCGTCCAGGTATGCTGAACAGAAATCATTAAGGAAATCTCACAGGGTCTAGTTAATATAACGTTGGAAGGTGCTCGGCGCGTTTGCTAATCCAAAGGGCATCATTAACTATTTAAATAGACTGAAATGAGTATGGAAGGCTGTCAGCCATTCGTCTCCTTCTGCAATGCGAATCTGATGGAATGCTGTAATGATATCTAACTTAGTGAACCATTAGGCTTTGCTAATGCGATTAAGGGTCTCCTGGATGAGTGGAAGGGGATACCAATCCTTCTTAGAAAGCTTATTTAACGCACGATAATCGCAGCAGAAGCGTAAGCTGCCATTTACTTTCTGAATAAATAGGACTGGGGCTGCTGCTGATGAGCTGCTAACCTGGATGAATCCCTTACCAAGATATTCAGTGAGTGCCTTTCGCATGTACAATAGTTCCTCTCGACTAGTGTTAAACAGGGGGCCCCATGGGGGATCAGGGTCTTTGCCATCCTTATCTTTTATCAGTTCAATCTTATGATTAATACCTGGCCCCCGTAGTGGTGGGAGTTTGTCAGCCTCTGTTCTCTTAAAGACCTTGAGGAATCTATGATAGTGTTGTGGGAGTTTAGTCCTTGGGTTGGTTGCAGCTTTTGTTTTCATCGCGAGTGCTTTCTCAATATCATGTAGACTGACTGAAAAGACTTTAATACCCTGATCCTTTCCCTTCTTCCTCCTGGTATTCCACATGTGGAATGCCTCTGTAGAGATCGGTGCGATCTATAGTGCAGCTCATAGGTCAGATTCCTTAGCTAAGCCTAGGCCACATGGGACCTCGAACCCAGTCTTTCTGAATAGTAACTTTGATTGATCAGGGAGGGGAACCACATTCTGATTGATCATCCAAGGAGTTCCTAAGATGATGTTGTGCTTGTCAATCTTTGGGACCACATAAAGGTAAATGTAGTCTTGCATATGTCCTCTAATATCCAGAGAAAGCTTGGCAACTTCAGTGATTAAGCTATTTGACGGTCCATCGTATCCATGAATCTTCTGAGGATGAATCTTGATGCGCTCTACACGGTTTTTCTCACAAAAATGAGAATCGATGATTCCGTAGGTTTGGTTTCCGGTATCAACTAATGTATCAGCATAAGTCTCCTTATTTATAAAGGCTGCTGTTACAAAAGGATGTCCAATGAACTCTGTTTCCTTAAAGAACCTTTCCCATTCCTCCTTTGAAGCCGTGGAGGGCCCCCATGAGCGACTGTTCACAGGGGCGCCGCATTTCCCGATTCCCTTCCTTCATCGGCAACTTCGTCTTCCAAAATAGCGTCATCAACCTTCACTTCGGCGACCTTTGGTCCAAGCCGGTGAGGAGCACGGAAAGGGCAGTTGGCGACATGATGCTGAGCTGAGCCGCAGCGCAGGCATAACCCCTTATCGCGACGACGTTGCAGCTCCTCCTTGCTCACCCACTTAGCTCGCTTAGCGTTGCTCGCGACACTCGGTTCCCAGTCCATAGTATTGCCCCCCACGCTGGAGGAGGTCCTATTCAGTCCCTGAGATTCAATCTTGTTTCCATTGTTGTTGTTTCCCTTGTTCGCGGTATGAGGGCTCTGTGAAGCACGGTTGTTGCCGTTCAGATGTTGGAGTTCAGCGAGACGATCAGTGACACCCTTTACCTGAGCACAGTATCCCTCGTAGGTGTTCTTTTCCTCGATGACCACCATCTTTTCGCGAAGTGTCTGATTCAGGGCAGCCTTGAGATATCCCTTCTTCACTTTATCGTCCCAGGCATGGCCTCCTGCCTCCAGCAACAGGCGATCAAATTTGGAGATTAAGTCGGTAAAGCTGCGTCCATACTGGCGGAGTGTGTTCAACTTAGTGATAGCCTTCTCCTGAAGGGCCTGGTCGAGGAAAGCGACGTTTAACTGCTTGAAGAACTCGATCTCAGTGAACTTGTCGGTATCCTTATGAGTTGAGACCCAAGGGAAGATGTGAGTAGCCGCTTTTCCCTCTAACCGGTTGAACCCGTACCAAATCCGATCCTTTTCATCTCCGATTGCATCTTTATCAATCTGTAGCTTGGCCAGAAGCTTTCCCTCAAATTATGGGAAGAGGGAGAGATCCTCGCCGGTGAACTTTTCGGTATCAGGAAGCTTCGCATGAGGACGTTTATTCACCACGTCACTATTAGGCTTCTCTTGGTTGTTGCTGAGGGTGTTCCCCTGCGCCAGGTAGGTAGTTAAGTCTCTGATACGTTGGCTCTGCTGATTGACCAACTCCATTAACTAGTCACGTTGTTGGTTGAAGATATTCTGTTGCTGCTGGAGCACTTGTTACACCCAGAGCGGTATCTCACTGACATTCTGCGAAGGTCCAGCTCCATGATTTTCCATTCCATTGTTTCCCATTCCAGTGTCAGGTCCAGTGTATCTAGGGGGCCCACTAGGGACCCCTGCCATCCCATGGTCAGAAGGATTCATTGTTTCTGATCAATCTGATTCGTCCGATGTATCCGATATGTGGGTGTCCCATGAAATCCGATAGGTTCCAAAGGGGTCCATGCAACGGCCCCGTTGCCAACGTGCGACCGTGCGCGGGTTATGTCAAAGATATGAAACTGATTCAGTCTAATCCGATATGAAAGAAAGAGACGAATGAATCCAAATGTAAGGGGCCAAAGCCCTCTTTATTGAATCTAACGATATCAACCAAAGAAATGGATTCGTTGGAGGGAGAAAGGGAAAACAGAGAGAGATGCCCATGAAGATGGGGATCAAGTAGGCGAACAGACAAAGAGAGTCACGTGATGTCAATAACAGTCACGTGAGGAACACGACGCGCAGGCCGAAGCCAAGCAACATCCAGGCGTAGCCTGTGACAGAATATTATAAATAAACCTCTAGCTATAGAGATATAGTATATAAAGGGGGGGGGTAATTATTAGGTATAGTAAGCCTATATATAGCAAACTATAGGGGTTATATAGGTAACTAGTATATAACCTATAGAGATATTATTAACTACTAAGGGGTAAGCATCTTATACCTTAGTAATTAGTTCACTAATAAAGGCATTACTACTACCATACTATCTACTATTTAATTAAGAGCATTCCCTAGGTGCTCTTACACCCTATCCATTCCTAGGAACCTATGCCAAAGATACATCAGCCCCTTATTATTAATAGACACCCTCTGTTAGCAACTAGACCTATATTAACTTGTTATGGAACATCTACAGTCAACACGAAATGGTTGGATGAGGCTTACGAGAAAAGACAGCGCAGTCTGACGGACAACCAGGCTCGAGACAAGGGGGGCGGCTAAGTCACGTGACTAACGGTCCCTG